GACCTCAGAGCACCTTCCAGTACCTAAAAGGGGCTCCAGGAAATCTGCAGAAGGTCCTGGGACAAGGGCAATGGCTGTAAATTGAAGGAAGGCAGGGCTAGATGGGATATTGGGAAGGAGTTCTTGGCTGTGAAGGTGGTGAGGGCCTGGGATGGAATTCCCAGAGAAGCTGTGGCTGCCCCTGGATCCTAGGAAGTGTCCCAGGCCAGGTTGGATGGGGCTTGGAGCAAACCTGGGCTGGTGGAAGATGTCTGGGGCTTGGAAAAGATTGGCTCTAAGGACCCTTCCAAGCCAGACCATCCTTGGATTCTGTAATAAAATACTTTTAAATCCAGGTAAACTTATCACCAACTTTGAGCCTGACCCAGAATAACTCCTAAAATACCACAGCCCAAGGATGCTGAGGCAGCTCTGACTGAAGGTGGGAGCAGAGGGGTGGAACAAGGCGGGCTTTGAGGTCCCTTCCAACCCAAACCATCCCACGATCCCATCAAAGGGCTGACCTGGAGCCCCCCCAGGAGCAGCCCTGCTCCCAGTGCCAGCCCAGCAGGAGCAGCAGGATCTCACCCACCTTCCTTGGAGCCCGTCCTGTCGGCGTTGGGCCCCGTGTTGGGGGTGTACTTGGTGTCCCTCGTGGCAGTGCTCTGCTTCGTCCAGTCAAAGTTGTCTGTGTCGTCTTGAGTGAAGAGGCAAATGTTGCCATCCTCGAAGCCACAGTGGAACTCTCCTGCCAACACAGCAAAGAGCAGGAATTCAGTGGCCAAAGCTGTCCCTCCAACCCTTGTTAGTTATAATGAACACGTTGGGATGATGCTCAGTAACAGCAAAAAGGGGCATTTGTGAATACAAATACACATATTTTGATTTCCCATCGGGTTTCCAGTGTTTAATGTCATTTTCTTTCGCAGGAACCTCAGCAAAATGGAAATCAAACAAAATATCATCCATCTCTGCTGGTGCTACTTGAAATGATATTTAAATCTTATTGCACAGCTCGTCCTCTCGTAGTCAGGTTTATATACTCAGGGTAAACATTTAGACATTTATGTATTTATACAATTTCAGATGCGAAGTTATATATTTATTCAGTTTTAAACACAAGTTTTATACACAAATGTACATGTTTATACACTTTAGAGGTGCTGTTTCTTCTTACCCAGCTGCATTTCTAAAAAGCTGGGAAGAACAGGCACCGTGTCCATAAAACATGAACCATGGGGGGAAAAGTGGGAAGTGGATTTTTTTTGTTTAGGGATCCAAAGATAAAAATCTAAATATTATCTCCAAGTGGCATTTCTTAAACTATCCTTGATTTCAGTGGGGGGGGGGGGGGGGGAAAGGAAGTTGGGGCTAAAATGAGAGCAAAGGAGCTTTAGGGTTGACGTGAAGAACAGCCCTAAAAATCAGGACAGTGCAGCACATGGATGCATTGCTCAGGAAAAACATTGGGTTCCCATCACTGGAATACCTTTAATCAAATAGAGAAATACCTGGAAAAAAGGTTTAGGTCTATCTGTACTGTATCTGGGCAGGACAGGTGATTCTATCCCCTCCTGAGGACAAATTCCTGTGCTTCCATCAGCAATTCTGTGCTGGACTTGAGGTCAGGTGGTAAAAGTGCAGGTCTAAGGAATTAAAAATCACCAAAAAGCCCAGAAAGGATCACTGGGATCCTCTCCTGCATGGAAGAGAGGAGCCAGGGCAGTGCTCTGACCTGCTGGGTCACGAGGGGATGACAAATTCCTCCTGACAGGCATTTAGGAATCAAAATAAATCCAAACTTGGAGGTTCAGCTCTCCTTTCAGAGCAAAATAAGGGCCCCACGTAGCAAAACCTGCAAAAGCCTAATTCCGTGTGCATGAACAATTCCTGCCGAGTTTGCTCTTCCAGCAAAGTCAATTGATTTATCTGGGAAAAGAAGGAAATCTCCCTTCTCCTGGGAGAAAGCAGCTGCCTGCACACAGCGCCAGCCCCGGCCTGTCTGAGAGGGGGGCAATTTATATTCACTGTTCTGGGCAACTCAAACACCCAGCACTGGGGGATTATTTATCTCTGTTACACTGAGAAGGTGGATAAATGTTTGCAGGTTTGGGGGTTTGGGGAACTATAAATCCGAACTATAAATCCACTTAAGCCACTGCAGCTTCCCCAGTAATCAGCGAGGACAGAGGGACCTGGGGCTTAGCCTGGGCTCGCACTGCTAAGCCAGAACCTTGGGCTGAGGCTTAGTTACACTCAGGTGATGGTGCAGGCTCGAAAGTGGGCTGGAAAAAATCCATTCCAGACCACAAAGTGCTTAAGGAATGATTTCCAAGTCTTATTCTGCTGCTGCCTGTCCAGGGAAAGCCAATGGGATCCAGAGGGGCTTTAGGAAGAGGGTCAGGGAGGGGATCCAGCCCCTCTGCTCAGCCCTGGGAGGTACATCTGGAGTGCTGGGTCCAGCTCTGGGCTCCTCTGGACAAGGAAAACACGGAGCTCCTGGAGGATGAGTCTCCTATGGAGGTGATGAAGGAACTGGAGCATCTGTGAGGGAGCTGGGGCTGTTCAGCCTCCAGAGGGGACACCCAGAGGGCACCTCCCCAAGGGCTGGCAGGGCCTGCAGGGAGGGGGCAGAGGATGGCCCAGGCTCTGCTCGGGGGGGCCCAGCAATGGCACAAGAGCCACGGGCAGGAACTGAT